GGGGGTTGGTGGTCAGAGTTTTGAGCAGTACTGTAATTTATTATGAGCATATTTCTTCAGGAAGTCTTTTACCTTAGAGTTATACTGTTTCCTACAGGAGGATTGGACACTGGCAAACAAAGAAACTGCAGGCCAGCCCAGGATGAACTTTTTGATTTTTGTCTAGTTTCCTGGAGGATGAATATCTTCTCTTCATCTATGTTGTTTGGAAGGCTAACCTACTTTTGCTAGCAACTTACTCTTCAAATTTTTTTTCCTTATTCAAGACTCTTCTATGTATCACTGCTAGAGCATATCTCTTCCATGTCTGCTATCCAGCATGGCCGTCCTCCTCCTGGCTTTTGGAGTACTCTGCCCAGACCCTGCTGAACTGGACATTGTGGGCATAGCCTGGAAATGACCTTTGTGCACTGGGTTTCTGCGTAGAATGCTTTCCAGACCCTGTTCTGCTAAAAGTTAGCTGTTAAGTGCATTCTGGGCCCATAACCGCTGGCATTGGTTTAGTATGTATCCTTTGCCCTATCTCTGTTCACTCACTTTATGAGTAAGCCATTGGACTGGTCTTTGGGAGCTACCTCAGTTACATAGGTCACTGGGTTCCTTTAAGTTATGGTATATAAACGGGGAAAGGAAGGTGGAGTGTCGAGTATACAAAATATTGAATGAGGGTCCCCTACTTCTTTATACTAGTACAAGATGCAGATTTCCCCACCCAGGGGATCCCACCATTCCTTCAAATTATATAACAAAATATTTATAAAAATATTTATTTATAGAAATGCTAAAAAAACATATATCTAACATATATAGTTATATCAAACATGCACACAAATACATATAGCTGCACTCTGCTGGTAATTCTTTCCCTTTTTTTATACATATGAACAGAGGGTAAGGCAGAATTAGATGTAATTCTGCCTTACCCTCTGTTCCTGTTTTTGTTACTCCTCAAACCACCTTGGATCATTTAAACCAATAGAAGTAACACAGGGGTTCAGTTAAGGCATTAATCCATAACACCCAGCAAGAATCCGAGATAGAGAGAAAAAAACTATATCTCCTGAACCTCCTGTCTTCGGTAACCGGATTCAATTACAAAGGTGGCAACACTGTTTTCAAAACGGGACCCTAAAAAACGAGGATTCATCTCATCTTATCGTGAGTCATATCCATTTTCTACATCTTGATGCTGACTTTATTTTTGTTCTCCTTTCCCTTTTTTCATACATATGTATGTTCACTCCTCAAATACAGAGCTCTTTTGTTTTTCTTGTTTTTCCATGAACACGGGTAATTTTTTCCAATTTTTTCCATTTATGTGGAGAATTTTTGAAACCCGAAAAAACGTATATATATATTCATGATATCAGCACAAAATACTTGGGCACTTACACGGCATACCTCTACACCGCTTTTTTATAGCATTTTTCCATAGGACTGTTAAGAATTACCAGCAGAGTGCAGCTATATGTATTTGTGTGCATGTTTGATATAACTATATATGTTAGATATATGTTTTTTTAGCATTTCTATAAATAAATATATATTTTTATAAATATTTTGTTATATACTTTGAAGGAATGGTGGGATCCCCTGCGTGGGGAAAACTGCATCTTAGTTACCATGTTTCCAGCTGTTTTTTTCACAAAAGGGTTTAATGCTGTGGGACTGAGTACTGATGTAATCTGCCGGTTGCAGTGTCCTGTGTGTGCACTCTCTTTCCCACCATACAGCGTAGAGGATGCATCTCTCTGCTGTTGGTACTGCTTGAAAAAAGCCACATGGAATTTTGATCTTTAGTCTGTTCCTGTTGCCTGCCTACACCTCCAGACATCCAACCCTCACCTGCTACCGGCTGTCTGGGCTTCGTGAGTACCTGAGACCTTGCCCCTTACCCTCTTACTCTGTAATGGATGCTCCCAGCTGGAGTCTATTCCATCATCAGAGTCCTCTTCAGCTCGGTCAGGTGTGGTGTAGGTTCCTCCTACCTTTTTGTTTTTTACTATAGTCATGCAAGACTTTATGGCCAAAAATCATCCAGTCATTTGCTGAGTCTGACTGCAGAGGCCACAAGCATGCTCCACACCTTTTCCCACAGATTCTGTATCTGATTTACCCACAGCCTTGGCAGCTTCAAAGCTATCAGCTGCTGATTCTTAGTTGCTTCAGTCTTGACTGATGAGATTGTCAATTAGGGGTCGCATATCAATTTAAAAAGATTGCTTTGGTTGCTATCGGCACAGTACACAACTTAGCCTGTTGCTTCTACCAGTGCTGTTTCGAGTCTTGGGTCCTTTAGAGCAGGGCTCAAAATTTAATGTCCTAAGCTACTAGCCAGGCCTTAAAAGTTACTTGCCACCAGTTGCCCCACCAACCCCTACCCTGCCCCGGCCTTAACTCTGACAGGTCAGCGGTGTGACACAGAGTACAAAGATCAGTAACAAAGCACAGCACAGAAGTCAGTGGTGCAATGCAGAATACAGAGGCCAGCTGTGTGACACACAGTGCACCAATGTGACGCGCAGTGCAGAGGTCCGCAATGTTGCGCGCAGTGCAGAGGTCAGGGTGTGACGCACAGTACAGAGGTCAGGGTGTGACGCACAGTACAGAGGTCAGTACACAGTACAGAGGTCAGCGGTCAGTATGTAATGCAGTGCAGAGGTCACAAAGAAAGTACAGGGACTTGCAGTTGCTTTGACCTCTGGTGATGGTGGGGGAACAGCGAGGTTTCCTACACGTCCAGCCGGCTCTCTCTCCTGATTTGCCCCACTCAGTATGCCCCTCGCTTGCGGCCATATTGAGTGGGGCACTCCTATTAATAACGTGCTGGATTAGTCTGACCCAGGGGCGGACTGGGCCCGAGGTCAGGGTGGCCTTTGCAAACGCCCCCCACCGCCGCTGTAAGCATTTAATCGCAGCGGCCATGAGGGGAGAGATTAAGCGCTTGCGGCGGCGGGGGGCACTCGGGCCGTTTTCAAAGGTTTCATGTCCTTTATAAAGGCTTGATGAGATATTTGTGTAATGCAAAAATGATGAAGTTAGTGTTAGTAAAGCTATAAAATTCACACCGTTTATATGGGCCTTTTAGGTCCAGGTTAAGGCTGAACTCCATGCAAACAGTCAAATACACCTTGAAATGCATATATGGCAGCTGTCTTATCTGCCAAAACATTTGCATCAGTGCCTACCCTATCCGGAAATTAAAACAGCTCTGCCAGACAACAGAGCTTGCCAGACAGCAGGAATTTTCTCTACTGCCTTTGAGCAACACAGCTGATTCATCTCCCTGTCCCTAACCTGTGACTGGACAGTGAAGAAGTAGAAACAGGCTGAATGAAAATAAGATTCCTTTTTTTTTTTTTTTTACTGCATTCATTGGTGTTTTCTTTGCATCAGCCTGAACATCAGCTTTAACATGTATGTATATATGTGTGTTTGTTTTTTTTTTCCGTTTTGAATAGAAAAGGGAAGAATTAAAAGCCCTGTTATTATTTGGTGTTTTTTTTTTTTCTGCTGTCTGTGCTCCATTGGGGCCATTTCCTTTAACTTCCAGTCCCACAAATGCAACAGAAATTTAGAGGAAATCTTGCAAACTGAGGGGGACAGTTGTCCCCAAATGGAAGATTTCCCCGTACGGGTGCGGGTGCCCCGGCTCGGACGCAGACAGGATTCATCCTGTCAGCGTACGAGTACGAACACCCGCACGGACGTGCAGGGCGGGTGCGCGTGCGGCCGCGGAGTCCCATAGAGAAGGACAGGGGCTGCGTACCAGTCACACGCAGCACCTGTCCTTCCTGGGAGCTGCCAGATACGGCTGGTGAGGTGTCATATGAAAAGCATTATGACACCTCGGCTCACAGACCCGAATAGCATTCGGAAGCTCATGAATAGCACCCGGGAGTTTCCGAGGATTTAAAGCCTTGTGAGAAATCAGGGAAGTACAACATTATGGGAAGATAAAATCACCAGGTGCCATCACAGTGCATGCTTTTTTATCATTTTCATGTGCTTATATAATACTAAAGCAATGCTAGTGTTTATAATAACGTCATATTCAAAAGTCAAATGATCTGCACTTTCTACATGGTTACAGTTTAACCTCTTGCCGTCCGCCCGTAGTAAAAAAACGGACGGAACCTCCATGCATTGTGAAGGGTTGGTGAAATTGAGAGTCTATAATCAGGTGGGTAGGAACCCTTGTTGGGTTTTTCCCACTATCAGGGGCTTTGATTTCCCCTCTCCTCTTGTCATGGTGACAACGGTTTTACCAGACAGGAAGGAAGAGTAAATCTCTAATAGCAAAACAGAGCAAAATAACAACCCTTTTTTTAATAGATAAGGGCAGGGCTAGAAGCTGTGTCACCTTTTTGTTGCTGCATATGTCCCTGTTGGAGAGCTTTAATCAGAAAGTGAGGGGAAATCTCTATAATTAAGCGGTAATGAACAAATAATATAACAGTCAAATAAAGCATGTTCGAATAAGAGCCACTTGTCCATCCTTTCCTGTATAAGGCCTTGTCCACTGGATTGGAGTAGAGTACTCACCATTTGCTGTAACGTATCCCACAGTGGATGAGCAATGAATAGGTTGTTTTTCTGCATGCAGGGGGAAGCAAGCATCGGGATCGGTCACATACAGGGATAATGTTGTGTTTAATCCATTTATGTTGTTTTATTTAGTTTATGAAGATATATTTTAGATATCTAAGTTGTGTAAATACAGTAATCCTTTCCTGTAGCCTGCTTGAATTTTGTGACTTGTAAATGATATCAATGACAGTAACAAATATTGTTTGCCTATTATTTCAGTCTTTGCCGTGGCATCATATTCTTCCTGTTGTTAAATGTCTGTGTCTATTTTTGTTGCATCTTGTGTAAAGGTTAATGTTTCTGCTTCAGTAATAGCGAGTACGCTTTGGCAGCTGCTTGCAGTTATTTTCCCTGAAATAGTAAACACAAGCTTGGTATATATTCATATTCTATTCCATTAAGGCTCCAAT